GCTCAGCGCCGCAGGCGCGGCTGGGAACTCGACTGGGAACTCCGGGCGCGCTGGGGAGCCTGTGGTGCGGAGTTACACGCAGGAGTTCGAGAGTTGTGATTTTTCTTTTTTGTTTTTTTAGCGTTGCACTGACTGAAATTCTTTTTTTGAACATTCGCGGCGTGACTCGCTGCCCTGGCTGTGTACTTTTTGTTATTTTTTGGATCAAGCAGTCCTGGTTTTAGAGGAACTTCGAAACAACCTTTTAGGAAATTAAAAACGGTTACTGAGAGTTGGGAACTGAGGTAGCCTAGAAAAAGTAACTGGTAACAGATTTCACCTGCGGTTGGATTTGTGGTTATGAACCAAGTGCAGCCAACTAGGGAGTAGTTGTCGTTTAGGTTTGTTAGCCAGAGGTGCTGAAAATCCAGCCTACTTGGCTCTGAAAAGATTAATTATGTTAGGTGAAATTGTGATGCTAAATTCGCCTTGTGTCCTGTCATTTGCTCATTTGTTTACCCTATAAATTGCATAGCATATTTAAAATAATTCATCTCGTTTAGCCTTTACATTATTTGCTCTTATTGGATGACATGTTTACATGTTTATCTTTTTCATTAACACATAAAGCTGTAGTTGGAATGCAAGGTCTAGGACAAGCTTTGCACTTCACAAGGACACATTTTGTACCTTGTTGTTTTTTCTTCCCAACTATTTACTTTGAAAATTTTCACATGTATAGAGGAGTTGTAAGAAGAGTACTACCTTGAATTTTTTTTTTTTTTTTTTTTGGTACCGGGGCTCAAACTCCGGGTCCTTGCATTTGTGAGGCAGATGGCAGAATCACTGAGCTAAGTCCCTGGCTACCTTGAATACTTATATTGAATATTTATAAAGCCTTCAACTTGATTCATCATTTTGCCATTTTTTTCATTACTGGGGTCGGAACCCAGGAATGCACTACCATTGAGCTACATCTTTTTAATTTTGAAAGGATCTTACTAATTTGTCTAGGCGGGCTTTGAACTTAGGATCCTCTTGCCTCCCCAACCCCAAGTAGCTGGAATATATGAGTGTACCACCACGCTGGCCTTTTTGCCTTACTTTTATGTGCCCACTATTGCTCTGGTGTTTATATATATTTATTTACTTTCACCTACCTTTTGAGAGTTAATTGTAGACATGATGACATTTCGATACTAATAGCTCAGCAAGTGTCTCTAACAATAAGGATATTCTCCTAAATAACCATATATTAGTGTTTTACTCATATGTTAATACACGTTCCCCAATAACATATCACATAATCATATATTTAGGAGATTTGACATTGCTACAATTCTGTTATTTAATATGTAATCTGTATTTCAATCTTTCCAGTTATTCCAAGAACGTCTTTGTTTTGTTTTTTGAGACATGGTCTCACTATGTAGTTGAGACTGATCTGGAACTCACTTTGTAGCCCAGGCTGATCTCAAACTCACAGTGATCCTCCTGCCTCAGCCTCCTGAGTGCTGGGATTACAGGCGTGCGCCACCATGCCTGGCTCCAAGAACATCTTTATGGAGGGTTTTCTTTTTTCTTTTTCTTTTTTGGGTTTTTTTTTATTGTTCCTGGGATCCAATCACAGATTGCATTCTGTTGTCACATTTTTTGATCTCCTTTAATCTGATACAGTGCGCTTCATGCCTTGTGTGTCTTTTCATGACAATGGCATTGTTAAAGAATCCAGGCCAGGCATTTTGCAGAATGTCTCCCAATTTATATTTGTCTGACTATTTCCTTATGATTAGGGTTATTTTTTTCTTTCTTTTTTTGAGACAAGGTCTTGCTGTGTAGTGCAGGCTGGCCTTGAACTCACTCTGTAGCACAGGCTGGTCTCCAACTCTCAATGCACTTCTAGCCTCCACCTCCCAAGTGCTGGGATTGCCAGCATGCACCAGCACACCCAGCTGATTAGCTTTAGTTTGTATATTTTTGTGAGGAATACACCAGATGATGTATCCCTGTTGGTGTGTCGCTGTACAGACTGCCATTTGCTGCTCAGCACAGTCTGGGTGGAGTTGGGTTGGTCTTTGTGTTGGTCTGTGCATCCTGTCCCTGGCACCCTTATGCTCCATTCCTTAGAGGCGACAACTCTTACTAGTTTGCCAGTGTGTCTCCCTGTATGTGTGTAAATGTGCATCTGTCCTGGGGAGGGGAATGGGAAAAGGAGGTGGGAAGTGTCATGTATGGGTACAGATTCCCAGTGATGAGTGCTATCATTATGGATGTCTAAAATGTACCAATAAATGTGTTTTTTTAATTTTTTTTCCGTTTTATTGAGTTTATTGGTACAATCTCGGTATACAATACAGTTACATTCATCATTGGGATTCTGTACCTTTACATAATAGGTCTTGATTCTCATTTTTTTCCCCTTACCCCTGCCCTCCCTTCACCCCCTCATCCCCTCCCCACTTACAAACACTTTATTTCCATTTTTTCAGTTTCTCATATTTTTTTCCTCTCCCTTATTACTTTTCCCCCACCCTTCCCACTTTCCCTACACCTTTAGCCCTTTACTTCCTATTTCACATTATTAATTATCTCATTAGGATCCTGTGTACTATTATAGTTTTTCACACCAAAGAAACTATTTGGTATTTCAGTTAAAGAAATCTCTGTATGAACATTCAAAATAGGGAATCCTAAAATAAAACTAAAAAGGAAAGTAAAAGAGAAAAGGCAGTGATGTTACATTAAAATAATCCTTAGTTCTGGAGATGAAAATGGTCCCTGAACATATTTAAATTGCTTCTCGCTCTTATAGTCTTATCTTATTCTTTTTTTCATTATTTAGAGAATACTTTATTAGTTTCTGTAATCAAACTCACGTAGATAAGACCTTACATATTTAGTACGATGTGTTACCCCTGTATACATGGAAAAAAAATAAATTAACATTTCTAGACCAATATGGCTGTCCATTTCTGTACAATGCCAACTCAACACAGTAAACTGGGGTGACTTTTTCCAAAATTGGCAGCACCGTTAGTTTCCCAAAATTCAGTTTATAAAAAGACTAATAATAGTATGTTATGCATTGATAGCAGCAACAGCTTTTCCAGGTTCTGCAGTCATCTGAACAAAATTATAGACATTCAGCACATTCCATTAAACAAAACAAAACAAAAAGAAACAAAGAAAAGAATAATATCCAGAAAACAGTAAAGTTCTGTTGCTGCTGTGGTACCTGGCACCATTTTTTCTGTTAGCCTCTTAATCATCATCTGGAAAGAGAACATTCTAGAGTAATATCATTAAATGTAGCTCTGATAAAGCACAGTCCCTACTATGTATCATACAGCAGGTATAAGATATTTTACATTCATAGAGGTATGATACAGTACTGTCCTACATCAATAATACTAGAATCAGTTTTGGTTTGAAATTTACTTTATCTGCAAATAAGATTGCTACCCCTGTTTTTTTCTGGGCTCCTGTCACATGGAGAATTGTTTTCTGTTTTTTTTAATTTTATTTATTTTTTTTCTTTTTATTGAAATTATTGGTACAATCTAGGTATACAATACAATTACATTCATCATTGGGATTCTGTACCTTTACATAATAGGTCTTGATTCTCATTTTTCCCCTTGTCCCTGCCCTCCCTTCAGCCCCTCCTCCCCTCCCCATTTACAAACACTTTATTTCCATTTTTTCAGTTTCTCATATTTTTT